AAGGATCCAGGCTTCTTCAGCCACCCAAAGGTAGGCATTAGATGGAAATATTTCCATAAAGTGTTTCTAAACTGAACTCCACACACATTATTCTGAGCTGGTTTGCTTGTCATCTTCTCAGGTGTGTTGCTGTATGGGCCTCCAGGCTGTGGGAAAACTCTTATAGCCAAAGCTACTGCCAAAGATGCTGGATTCCGCTTCATTAACCTGCAGCCTTCCACTCTCACTGACAAATGGTACGGAGAATCCCAGAAACTAGCTGCAGCTGTCTTTTCGCTGGCCATCAAGCTACAGCCCTCTATTATCTTCATCGATGAGATCGGTAAATGCATATTTACATTTTTATGTGTCCCTCTTACACCCCTTAATATTGATATACCAGTAGTTATTAATTTTACCCTTTGCTTTCAAAGGTAGATCGGTTCAGCTTCATTGCACATTTATGGATCACTGGAAATCTACTTTTGAATCTTAATTGGTATATTTTGCTCCTTTAAAGTCACATAATATGGCAATACAATTCTGGATATTTGTCATTAGGGCTTTTCACACCTGAAATAGTTAACCCTTGGTCATTCTAGTTTCACACAACTCATAATTTTTTTTTTGTGCTCCTGTGGCTCAGTGGTAGAGCATTGCGTTAGCAGCGCAAAAGGTCGTGGGTTCAATTCCCAGGGAACACACATACTGGTAAAAAATGTATAGCCTGAATGCACTTTAAGTCGCTTTGGATAAAAGCGTCTGCTAAATGCATAAATTATTATTTTAATTAATTATTATTGTAATTTACCCGGTGTTAACAATTAACCCTGGGTAGTCATAAGATGACATTTCAAACTGTACATTCCTAAACCCCGAGTTAATGTTCTTATTTGCATATTTGCGGTGTCAATGTTATTGATTAGACGAATGCAGCACACTAGGTCTTTACATAATAGCTCTAGCATTGTGCATCCTTATATGTGATCCTGGAGCACAAAACCAGTCTTAAGTCGCTGGGGTATATTTGTAGCAATAGCCAAAAATACATTGTATGGGTCAAAATGATCGATTTTTCTTTTATGCCAAAAATCATTAGGATATTAAGTAAAGATCATGTTCCATGAAGATATTTAGTAAATTTCCTACCGTAAATATATCAAAACCTAATTTTTGATTAGTAATATGCATTGCTAAGAACTTCATTTTTAAAACTTTAAAGGTGATTTTCTCAGTATTTTGATTTTTTTTGCACCCTCAGTTTCCAGATTTTCAAGTAGTTGTATCTCGGCCAAATATTGTCCTATCCTAACAAACCATACATCAAAGGAAAGCTTATTTATTCAACTTTCAGATGATGTATACATCTCAATTTTGAGCAATTGACCCTTATGACTGATTTTGTGGTCCAGGGTCACACATTATATATTGACGACAGTACTATCAAGTTTTCCAGAATAGACTTTTCAGACTATAAGAGAAAGAAAGAAAGGTCTCTTCTTTAATCTAATGTGCTGTGTTTCTGTGACTGTCCAAAGCATGTGAAAATGAGGTACGCGATTGGTTGTCGGTTGCTAAGGGTCTAGCTGTAGCATTCTAACACCATATTTTGATTCTTACTGTACAAATTTGGCACTGCAATGCAGGAGCAGGGTTTCATTACCCCAGGTAAAAAGCAGTGCTTATCCCGCTTATAAATTACTAGTGTGAAACGTACCATTACCTGGGGTTAAAAGCAGGGTTTAGAACAACGATAACCCAGGGTTAAGTGCAGTGTGAAAAACCTTCTTTCAAAGTAATTTCTATTCAACTTCATGTCTTAGATTCCTTTTTGAGGAGTCGCTCAAGTTCAGATCATGAGGCCACCGCTATGATGAAGGCTCAGTTCATGAGCTTATGGGACGGACTGGATACTGACTACAACTGCCAGGTATTATTCAGCATCTTTTTACTTTTTTAGTGATTACTGATTTGATCAGTGATTCAAGATGCAAATTAGTCTCCTCTTTTGATGTGTTGTGATTGTTTTCTGCATAAAGGTCATAATAATGGGAGCCACCAATCGGCCACAAGATCTTGATTCTGCTATACTCCGAAGGATGCCCACAAGATTCCACGTCAATCAGCCTGTAAGTCCCTTGAAATTAGCTCAAAATATGTTTATATGGTTTAAATGAATTTTTAAAAGTTTACTATTGTATCATTAAACTCTGTAGTGCTTTTGATAAATGATTCATTTGTCGTGTATTTAGAATGTCAAGCAGAGGAAAGACATATTGAAACTGATCCTGGAGAATGAGAATGTAAGTGTTTTATTAATTGAACTGTATGGTTATTGAAAGTTGCGAGTGCTGAAAGGGTCACTTTTCCTTTTCTGAAGGTGGAGTCTGCTGTGGACTTTGGTGAAATTGCAAAACAGACCGACGGGTTCTCAGGAAGTGACCTCAGAGAGATGTGCCGAGACGCTGCTCTGCTTTGTGTGCGTGACTTTGTGCATCAAGAAAGGTAAACTCTTAACAAAGGGCTTCAGACTCCGCACAGAACGTATCAGGCTTTTTTTTTTCATCTTTAAGTTTGGGGCTCTGTTTTACTCATTTACATAACGTCTAGCATAAACAGTTTAAATTTGAATCATTGTGAAACTGATCTGAGGCGCTCCCTTGTTAATTCTCCTCCATCCCATGACAGTCCAGATGAAGACTTCATCCGTCCCATCAGGCAGGAAGACTTGCAGAGGGCAATTGGGAAGATGAGGAAGTCCAAATCTGCAGGAGTGCAAGAGGCGTTTATGCATGTACCACTGGACTGAAATGTGATGCTGCTGTTTTAAAAGAACAAGAACCTAGATTTGGTCTGTTTTTCTTATTTGTGGCATATCGTCATGTTTTGCAAGAGGGGGAACTCAGGATTTATAAATGGTGGAATGGAGTTTTTTTTCTCTAATCATGTTTTTTTTTTTTTTTTGCACTGTAATTTCCATACTGTATTTGCCACTCAATCAATTAGCCTTATTTTTAAAAAATCATGCGTACAACCATTCTTAAGTAAATTGTCGCTTAAATGGGACCGTTTATGAAAGAATGAACGATTTACCTGAAATTAATTTTGTTTGTGTTCAAGAATAAGGCCCATTGTGTTTGTCTTCATAGGTTTGGTTTGTGTGGTTTTGCTTGTTCTATAAAACCCTGTGAGAGGTTTGTGAAGATGGGAAACAGTGTAGTTACTATTTTCAGTTATGTATAAGGCACGTACTTTCCCCAGCAATAATTATTTTTTACAATCCCAACAATATGTAACAATTCAGCTGATTTGTGAGCACAAAAAACAAAGTGTGTTCATTAACACAGTTTTAACTCAGAACAACTTGTTTCCCCCAGCGAGTGAATGATTTGATTGAGGTGCATTTACAGATTTATAAGCCATTTATATTGAATAAAATGTTTAAGCGTTTAATTTAGCCCAGAGTAGAGGTTATGTGATGACCTGTTGTATTGATATTTATTTGCAAAACGTTTAATATGCTTGCACAAAATATTTGGGTCCAGTGCCAAGCCGCTGCATGTACTCATCTGTCAGGTGTTATTTTTTTGGTTCGAGTGGGCAAAGGAGACTTGAAAATGGAAAGAAAAATTATTTTGGAGAAACCTGTCTATGGATTGCCAGCAATACAATGAACAATTGTATGCAAGAATTTTTCAGTTACTAGTTTTCCTAGTTTACAATAGTCCACTGCTCTCTTCAGTCTAAATGTGCTTAGAAGTCAGAATATATTTGAAATGTTTTGTTTACACTGTAGAAAAATTGGATGGCAATGGTTTTGTCTTAATTAAGTTTATTGGAATGACTGCCCGATGCACATTACATCAAATATTGTAAGAAATGACAGTGTAAATCTCACAAGTTCGTACAAAAAGTAGAACGAAGTAAATACATTTCCTGTAAGATAATAAATATGTTTAGGTTGGTCCGCTGAGAAAATGGAAAGACAATGAATATGCTCTTGTTCCTTCACATTGGATTCCTCAAGAGTTTCATGTTTATGCATTCAGCACAAATCTTTCACATTCATACATCGCTCTTTACAGTAACTCTGAATGTAAAAATAATGCACATTTACATTAAGGCACATGGACGTACACTGCAAGACAATATTGTTTTAATGTCAAAGACATCTGACTGTGGTTATACTCTGCTGCCAGTACTGAACATTTATAAATTCTTATAAAGAATGTTATAGAATTAATCTGCCTCTTCAATGAGTACAAGATGTTCTCCACTGGTGGAAATACTGCCAAGACAAACACTTATCCAAATAAAGCTCCAGTTGAGGTAGGTGAAATATTGGTCCTATTACCGTCAGGTATACTTCGAACTGCTCGATCAGACTAAGTCTATAACACACCTGATGCAGCAGTAGCTGTGTAGTTTGATCCATCCACAGGGTGATTTCAGGGAACAAAATATACTGTATTTTAAAGTAATTTGCAGGGCATAAATATAGATAGCATTTATCTAGGAATGTTGTAGAAATTAGTCTAATAAAGATTTATTATTGTTACAATGTAGGACTGGAATACATGATGCATCTTTCTATAAATCTATTTCTATCAGTTCTAATGAAATAGATTAAATAGAGCTTTACTGCATGTCTGCATATAGTCCAGTGCCTTGTGTTCACTGGTCCTTCTGCAGAGAACTGTAATACTCAGCTAGGACTTTCCAGGCTTTGGGGGCCATGAAACCATCAGGGGGGTTCTCCCCGCTGCGGGCAAGGCTCCGCATTTTGGTCCCTGAGATGAACTCAAATTCACCATGTCTGAAAAACAGAAATGCAGCTGACTTGAACTTCAGTTTCAGTAACAGTTCCTGGTCAAGCAGCTGTGAGCTGTGATCAATTCTTGTCAAGATGAGCAAAATACGGTATGCACACAGACTGAAGTAGTTTAAGTCTTTGGTTCTTTTAATTTTACATTTAGAGTTAAAAAGATATGCCATACTTAAGCTATCTTGATTCTACATTAATTAATTTTCATGTTAGGGGGTTAAACAGTTATAAATATTTCAGTGCAGTCTTAAGAGCTAAAATTAAATATTTACACACCTTTCCGTGTCATAGAAGTCCATGGCCTTCTTAACTTTGTTGTATGCAGCAACTCTGAAGGGAATAATCTCTAGAGAGGTGAGGCCTGGTGCCATGGTCAGCACTTTTCCACCGTGTGTGGGCTCGTACAGGTCCTTCTTTGTCTCCGGATGGGGCATACCTGCTGGATCTCGTCCTACAATGTAAAAGTTGGCCCCTGCGATCATCCTGGCCCGACAATGCCACTGTACCTATAAGGAAATAATTTTTTTGTCCAATTTACAATTGGTTTGACTCAATTATTTGTACTAAAAAAGGTCTAAAATGGCTGCAGAAACTAAGTTCATTCTGTTTATTAAAGTGCCTCTTTTTTTTCCTCCAGAGTAACATGTTCAACAAAAGTCTGACCTCTGTAGGCCCAGCATACATCATGGGTGAGGGGAAAATGGCCACAATGGTGTTCTCTGGATCCAGCACTTCTTCGTCCAGCACAGCAGCATGCTGCTTCATGCGCCAGTCCAGCGGTACATCATCCTCTTTGGTCCAGCCACCCAGAGGGTGCAGCAGCAGCACAGGCTTTTTGTAGCCCCGCTCCAGCAGACGACGCTTAGTGTCCTGCATCAGGAGCGCATGGCCGTTGTGCACAGGATTACGCAACTGGAATGCAAAAATGGCATCTGCAAGGGAAAGACACAATTGCGGAGGGTTTTGTATAATGTATATTGTGTATATTTGTATAAGGTATAATGTATTCCATCATAATAAGAGTATTCTTTACATAGTAATTGTCATTTTTTTATATGAAACTAATACATGTTTCACTTTTACCTGCTCTCATTTCTTTAAATTTCTGTCTTAGCTCCTGAGGAGTGAGACGGTACTGGTCAAGGCCATCATTCCACCTAATTCTCTCAAACACCTCCAGATCTCCACCGGCCAGCCAATCACCACTCTCCATTACCATCTGTACGAAGCATAAAAGGTGGCATTTCATTGGCTGATTGTGTTAGCAAGTATAACATACAACTGTTATAAAAGCAATGACATTGACAGACATGTGTCTTCTCACCTTGATGTATGGATGTTGGGGGCATGTTGTCCCCCACTGCCTGGCACATCTCTCTTCTTTACGATGCTCATAAAACTCAGGGTTGCGCATGATTGCCACCTTTTGACCTTTGAACTCCAGGACAAAAGCAGCACAACTGTCCAGCCTCTTTTTGTCATCCTTGGATATGGGCAGCACAATGGGAACAGACATGTTGATGACCCCCCCTAAACATACAATATTATTAATTATTAATTAATATTATTGCATGTAATGTTTGATATTATTACATTAACTCAATCTGCTAATTGAATACATATAAATGAAAGTTACTGATTATAATATAACTGATTATTACAGTGTTATTATTACATTTATATTTAATAATATATACACTACCGTTCAAAAGTTTAGAATTGGTAAGGTTTTTGAATGTTTTTGAATGCAGTCTCTTATGCTCACCAAGGCTGCATTTATTTGATCAAAAATACAATATAAACAGTATTATTGTAAAATATTATTACAATTTAAAATAACAATTTAGATATATTATAAAATATAATTTATATATAAATTATAAATTGTGGTAAAGCTGATCAATCTGGATGGTAAAGCTGAATTTTCAGCAGTCATTACTCTTCAGTCTTCAGTGTCACATGATCCTTCAGAAATCATTCTATGCTGATATGTTGATTTGGTGCTAAAGAAACATTTCTTATTATTATCAATGTTGAAAACAGTTGTGCTGCTTAAAGGGATAGTTCACCCAAAAATGAAAATTCTGTCATTAATTACTCACCCTCGAGTTTAGAACGACATGAAGGTGAGTAAGTCATGACAGAATTTTCATTTTTGGGTGAACTATCCCTTTAATATTTTTATGATCAGGATTCTCAAAAGAACAGCGTTTATTTGGAATAAAAATATTTTGTTTGTAACACTATAAATGTCATTTTTGATCACTTTGATCAATCCTTATTGAATAAACGTATTAATTGCATTTTGAGGAAAAAAAACTTTTGAACAAAAACATTTACACAAAAATAGAAAAGCAAAAAATAGAAAATGTTAACATAAATTTAATATTTGATAGTATAAACCTCATTATTTTTCTTAACTTTGTTAACTCTGAAATTACATGGAGAAACTATCAAAAAATGCCCTGCAAAAAAACTACACATTTTTGAGGGTGATGTCTCTGTCAGTGGGCTTAGCAGTTTAGAAATGTGTTTACCATCAAGCAAAGTTCCAAAGTGCAAGACTTGCAGGAATTCCCTCTCCCTCATGAAACCCCTCAGTGGAGTCGCCCAGCCCTCCGATAGAACCTGTACCCACTGCAAATCCAGCTACAGGACCAGAGAGAAACACACAAACAGAACTTCAGTTTTATTTCACGATAAGAGCGATAGTTTGCCACACAATAACAACAGGAGCGCACAGCCTTTGTGCACAGGATAACACAACTGGAATGCAAAAATGGCATCTGCAGGGAAAAGAGTTGATACACTAGCAGGGACTTATGGGAATTAACTTGTGTAAAAAGAAAGTGTAGGTTTAGGGGTAGTGTTAAATTTGCTACAGCATCATTATAGTGTGTTCCATCATTATAAGTTTGCCATAAAATAACAGCATTTTTTCTAAAGTAGTTCTTTTAGTTAAATTATGCAATAGATTTCCATTTCCAAACACCAGGTTACAGTGAAAAGCTTTCAGTTAACTGAACTGTGATGAAAAGCCTGTGGTGTAACATGCAGGGCGGTTGATTCACACAGCAGGGTATGTGGGAGTTTGTGAAGGGTTGCATTACCTCTGTGATGGTTAAAGTGGGGAGTATATTGGCATCACTCAGCACCAGGTCCAGCTTGTTTTCAGGAACAAAGAGCTCATTCACTTCTTCCGTCACACCAGTGGGCACAATATCCTGGGATAACGAATCATCTGGTCAGTGATTTTTCAACATCTCTCAACTGAAAATTGACAGTCTTGTGTGCTGCTGGCACAAAGAAAGGGACAACTGGCCAAACACAAGGATCCATTTGATGACCAGAAATGAAAGAATGACCCACCTGTTCCTTCAAGAGATCCACTAGCTGCTGAATGCAGTCATTGACAGTGAGCTCTCCAGTCTTCAACACAAGCTCAGGGGCTTCAGGCTTCTCATAGTCTGAGTCTATTCCCGTAAAACCTACATGGTAAAAAGAAGAAAAAAGTACTGTAGTTAAAACATTTTCTAGATACATTCATGTAAATGACATTATTGGCAAATGACATTATTCTCTGCATTCTTATGTCCAAAATAAGTCAAGTGTTTAAAGTTTTAAATGTTATCTATTTTCTCCTATCCATGATAAACATGATGGGACATCTATAAGCAATGCATTTATAGATTTATTTCCCCAAAACATACCTTTAATCTCTCCAGCACGGGCCTTTTTATAAAGTCCTTTGACATCTCTGCTCTCACACACCTCCAGTGGGGCATTTACAAACACCTCAAAGAACGGCAGACCCGCGCTCTCAAGGATCTTCCTGGCGTCATTTCGATCCTGTTGTGAGCACATGTAAAATCCTCCTCTTAATCAATCCTGATTTAGAAATTGTTGGAAAATATCATGTAATATAGGAACCTCTGATGTCATTAAATATCACGGCACCTTTGTAAATGGAGAAATGAAACTAGTGATGCAAACCAGTCCAGCATCAGCAAACAGTTTGGCCACCTCAGCCACACGTCTAATGTTCTCTTCTCTGTCTGTGGCCGTGAAGCCCAAGTTCTTATTTAGGCCATGTCGAATATTGTCACCATCGAGCGAGTAGCAAGGAATGGCATGGGAAACTAGATATTCCTCTAGAGCAAATCCAATTGTAGTCTTTCCAGCACCAGACAGCCCTGTAGAAAAAAGAAACACTGAACTAAAATTCACTTTTATTGTATGGAAAAAAGGTGTGATATTTTATGTGAATGGTGACTCTGTATGGAGACTGTCATTCTGCCTAACATCTCCTCCTCTGTTTCACAGAACAAAGGAAGTCACTCAGGTCTGAACATGAGGGTGAATAACTGATGACCGAATTTTCATTTAGGAGTGAACTTTCCTTAATAATTTGTTCGATCTAAATTTCTCCTGAAAGTTTTACAGGAGAAATTCCCACCTGTCAGCCAGACAGTACATCCACGAAATCCACCTCTGGTCCCAACCACCTGGCCACGCTTGCTTCTGCTCACATGGTGAGCCTGGTACACAACATTGGTTGCTCTCTGCAGATCCTACGTACAAAACAAAAAGTAGATATACATGATAGAAAAGTAAGCATGAGAACAATTTGCAAGTTGTGCAGTCAGTGCCTAAATCATCTGATTTTGACATTGTGTTTCTATATGGACAATGGGTCAGATTCACAAAAGTGTTTGAAGGGATCCTTCACCCAAGGATGCCCAAGGGGTACGGGGACACCGGGGACGGGGACGGGGACACCCCCCCATGTCATTACAAATCTAAAAGAATATAATTTTTGTCCGTACAATGAAAGTCA